TGACTTTTCCAGGTGGGCCCTGCATTTGTTCATGCTTTTACAAAGATAGGATGACTTTCTTTGGCACAACAGCCCTCTTTTTCCATGGTGTGTGTCTGTTGCATGCAGCTAAGTCTTACACTTAAAATCAGTTTCCCAACTTTCGCACTAGATCTGTGAGTTGTTTGATAATTCCCAATTTCCTCCACTGTATGATTGGGATTAATGATGAAAATAGAACAGAGATGGAGACGACAGTAAAGATTAAATGGCTTAGTATTATACGTGTAAAGTGCTTGGAGAGGTCTACAGTTAGAAAGTGTTGAGTGAAATTACTCTTAGCCCCCATTCCTCCAGGAGTTGAGGATATTTTAAAAAAGACCTTTAAATAAGGACAAATTCAACTCCTACTGATACCAAATTCTTTGGGAAGGCAGTGCATAGATTAAGTATACGTGAAAGTATTTGGAGGGCATTTTTACAGTTTTGTTTATGGGGATGAGTCTGTTTAGTGTTGCACTTAAGTAACAATTTTACTCAGCTTGTTACATGTCTGCTTGATAGATCAGCTCTGCCTCTGATACCAAGTCCAGAATGATCTAATCTCTAGCTTGACTCAGTTTGAACCCTGGATAGAAAGCTATTAATTGTGGAAGATGCAAGAGAAGCAAAACAGCTGGCTTTTTATATAATACATAGAAAGAGAGAAAGAAAGTTGTTCAGATACATTTTTTATAATTTTTACAAGTGACCTTTTGGAATTGGCAATGTTGTTCTATAAGTGTCAATTCTTTAGCCCTCAGGTATTGTGGTGAAATTGATTATCTGATGTTATGATACATATCTTTTTAATTTGCATGAAACAGATGTTTCTTTTTCATGCTGGTTTTGATTCTTAAATTTTATGTGTAGGAATTTTAATGCTGAGATAAATTTTAATTTATCTGAACCAGTTTTAGAAACTGAATTTGTGGGTAGGTGTTTGGGAGTTTTTTCCCACTCAGTGCATTTGTAGAATGGATGCTTTCATATGTTAGACTCCATGAGATCCAAGAATAAGAAGCAAGTCGTTTATGACCTCTCATGGAACAAAACAGTACAGGATCTGATGGAATGCAACTGCAGATTGCCTCAGACCACCTGGATACCGTGTGCTGTCTTGGGCTGCCTTTATCTTTAAGCCACAGCATTTCCTTCCTGTGATTTGACACATAGGCCTCCTTTATAAAGAGTTTATATTACTCAGTAAAATTGAACCTATGTAACGGGAAAGACCATTATCGCCCCTCCCCACATACATCAAAGTCAAGGAGATTGAAAATGTACTTCTCTCATAGAAATAATGTGCTCAAGCTAGACTCTTAACTAGGTCATCTAGTTAAATAATCATCTGCTTATTTATTCAACATAGTGTCTCAAAACTCAAACTCACTGCTTTTGAGTCTGGTCTCTGAGGCTGTGAATAGTAAGGGGTGGACGCTGTGGGAGTCAGACCTCTGAAGATGTATGGCCTTTGGGTTAGCAGGGCAACTTGCCACACACAGTGTCACCAGAGCTTCCTATTTAGGTGCCTACAGTGTGTACAAAGTGCACCTACTGGGTCTTAGAATAGTGAATGAGACACACATCATTTACGGAATATGAATTTTTGTGTAATTGCCATGTTTTTTCTATTTAGACCTAGTCTTTGTGGAGAGATACTTGGTATGACTAGCATTGTATTTACTGGGAAAGTATAAAAATGTCAATGAAAAGGAATCACCTTCAGCTCAAAAAAGCCAACTTTATTGTTTTTGTAAGATTAACAAACCTCTGGTGGCCTAGAGGCAAGAAGCTATGCTTTAAAAGGGACATGGTTTGAATCCCACCAGCTGCACAGGAGGATGAGCAGTCTAGTCCTGTATGATTAACTGCCTCTGAAAACCCACTGGAGGGTCAGCTATGGTCCAGTTCCAACTCAGCAGTATACAACAACAGTGGTTTAGTTGTGTAAGGACATAAGTACCAAACCTCTTATACTTGTACCATTAAACCATTATCTCCTTCCCTTTCTTCTCATCATGTAGGATATGGAAGGGAACTATCTTAAAGAGCTTGTGAACTCTGGTGGTATAGCCTATAAGGAGTTGTACTACTAAGCCTAAGGCCATACCTCTGGCTGCTCGAATCCACCAGCAGCTCTTTGAATGATGGGCAGTCTTACCCTGATCTTTACAGCCTCTGAAAACCTGCTAGCGGGTCAGCTGTGATACACCTTACAGCAGCGCTTTGAACAACAGACCTAAACCCTGTCCTGTCCTGTGCCATCCTCATCATCTCTGACATACTTGAGCCCATTGCCATAGTCACTCTGTCAGTCTCTTTTGCAGACCCCCCACCCTTGCAAGACATAGCCTCTCTTAGCAAATAGGTGAGACTAAGTCTAGCTTTGTGCAAAAACAAAATATTTATTTCAGTATTTTTGGCTGCAAGCAAGATTTACTGAAGATTATCCAAAAACGATTGGAACAGCACATCAACAGAGAACTACCAGAAGTCCAGGCTGGGTTCAGAAGGAGTCTTGGTACTAGGGATATTGTAGCTGATGTTAGATGGATCTTAGCTGAAAGCAGGGAATACCAGAGGAATGTCTTATCTGTGTTTCATTGACTATGCAAAGGCATTTGACTGTGTGGATCATAACAAACTATGGGTGACTCTGAGAAGAATGGGAATCCCAGAAC